CTTTCCCTCTCTGAGATCTAGTTCTCTCGGCATGGAGAGCTCGGATGAGAGGGTCGTCGCCGTTATCATGGTCGGCGGTCCTACCAAAGGTTAATTTTCCTTTTTTTTTTATCATTCCTTTTCGTTTTAACAACAAAATTCACAATTGAGTGGAAATCTCTTATTCAATTTGTATGATATATAAATACATATATATATATATCCGTATATTTGTATATATATTTCTGTTTTTGTTTCGTCGCAGGGACTAGATTCCGACCACTGTCGTTCAACACTCCGAAACCCCTTTTCCCATTGGCTGGGCAGCCCATGGTTCACCACCCCATTTCAGCTTGTAAAAGGGTCTGCCAATTTCTGAATCTCAATGCATATAAAGTGACAAAGTTTGGAAATTGCATTCTCTAGTTACTTCATTTCTTTTGTTATTATGCTTTTGGTAGATCCCAAATTTGGCGCAAATCTTTCTGATTGGATTCTATGAGGAGCGAGAATTCGCTCTTTATGTCTCCTCGATATCAAATGAGCTGAAATTGCCTGTGAGGTTGGTTGATCAGTTGTGCCAAAATTTATCATTTTTTTTTTAATAATCCAAGAGTCCAACATATTAGATATAACAATGGAACTTTTAATCAGTTTTCCGTTGATTTAATTATTATTATTATTATTTATTTATTTTGGTTCACTGTGTCAATGTAGGTACTTGAAAGAGGACAAACCGCATGGTTCAGCTGGTGGGCTTTATTACTTCAGAGATATGATCATGGAGGATAGCCCGGTTTGAATTTTGTCTCTCTACACTATATTAGCTTCTCTCTTCCTTTTTTTAAGTTTTATATATATATATATATATATATATATATATATATATATAATTGTATAGACTTTCTAAATCTGGTTCACATTTATTGGGCAGTCACATGTTTTTCTGCTGAACTGTGATGTTTGTTGCAGTTTTCCATTACCTGACATGCTTGGTGAGTTTTGCGTTCTTTATTTGGTGTGGAAAAGGAAAGAAGTCAGTGTATTACTATTCCATGTCACATTCCTTTTTTTATTTTTTATTTATTTCTAATTGACAGTTGAAGTCACGGTATTGCATATTATTGTTAGTTGGTATTTAATAATTTTAGCTGTCTTATGCTTCTTTTTTTAAAAAAAATTATTTTTTAATCTTTCAGAGGCTCATAAAAGATATGGTGGGATGGGGACAATGCTAGTTATCAAGGTTGGTGCGTGAATTAACTGCATTCTCAGTAAAGTTAGCAAGAAAAATTATGTTATCAAGGAAAGAAAAGTTTGTATCTTCTTCTGGTTTCATGTGCAGGTTTCCGCTGAATCTGCCCATCAGTTTGGTGAGTTGGTTGCTGATCCAACTACCATGGAACTGTTGCATTACACAGAGAAACCTGAGACTTTTGTACGTACATGATGCTAGTTGTGTTCTGATACTTTCATAATTTTTCTCAGTTGTTGCTTCATGAACTTAGTTAGTGTGTTTATTTATTTATTTTTTTTCTTCGGTGACTATAATGAAAATTATGCTTCAAAAATAACAGGTGAGTGATTTGATAAACTGTGGTGTCTACGTATTTACTCCCGAGATCTTTACTGCAATTCAAGATGTCTCCATGCACCGAGAAGACAGAGGTTGGTCTTTTTAGTTACATGTACTATTAGCGGTTGAGTTCTATGGGCTTCTGGCTAAGAATTTTTCACTATATTATTTGTGACTAGTGAGAAGAAATCTTTTCCAAAAAATACCTTGTGCTTCTTGTAGTAGCAAACCCAGTCTCATTTGGAGATATTTCATTGCAAGTGTTTCAAAATTTTACTTTGTTTTTGTTGCATTCTTTTTTGCTATTAGGGGTTTCACTTCCGTAAGTTTTTCCTAGCTTAAATCGTGATGTCAACGTAAATGTATAGAATATTTTTGTACTTATTGATTCCTTTAGTAGGCATGCATTTTAAACTAAGAAAACAAGAAACCTCTTAAAGCCAGTGCTGTGCAGTGTAGAGTTTAAATTAACTCACCAGCTAATATGGCAAATTTTGTTTTGTTTTATTATTTTAACCGTTTATCTGATTGTTAATCAGTGATCTGTATGCAAGGAATCTTCTTCACATTGCTAATGCTTTTGATTTGTATGTCCTCATATGCAGCTAATTTACGCCGTGTATCCAGCTTTGAAGCCCTCCAATCTGCAACAAGGTTGATCTCCTACTAGTCCAAAGTACTGGGTTTTTTGGGTATGATCTTGAATCCAGGCCATCACTTCCTTACTGACATGATTTTTTTTTCCTAGTCGGGCACTTCCTACGGATTTTGTAAGATTGGATCAAGATATTTTGTCACCCCTTGCTGGAAAGAAGCAATTATACACGTATGAGACCATGGATTTCTGGGAACAGATCAAGACACCAGGGTAAAGTAACTATGCCTAATAACTTTGTAGGCACTTTATACGCTCCTTCAGCAGCACCGTTCCTAGACATGTAAAGTGTGAAGATTAAGGTTTGACAAGGCATATAAAGTTTGATGTGTAACAATGAATTTGGAATGATGCAACAACAACGAATTCATTTAGTTCAGATCAATAATTGTACGTTCCCAAGTTATTGTTACATAGAATAAATACCATGTTGCACCTCAACACTTTCCTGTTACATGTGTAGGAGTGAAGGACCGTAGAAAGCCCCTGACTTTCTATATCTGAATCTTCTTCCAATAATTTCCAAATATATAAATCTATAGTTGATACTGCAGGATGTCTTTGAAATGTTCTGCTTTGTATCTTGCCCAATTCCGACATACCTCCCCCCATCTTTTGGCCGGTGGAGATGGTACGAAGACTGCTACGATTAGTGGTGACGTATATGTTCATCCATCAGCGAAAGTACATCCAACTGCAAAGGTAGAGTGATCTCACCAATTGCCATATAGTTGACAGTATCTTACAAAAGTAGCCGCACCACAAAATTTATTTCAAACAATTTTTAATCTCAGTGTTTTTTAGAAAGAAAAATGAAAGTACTGGTTGTGGACATAGACTGATTTTTGAAGCTCTCTCTTCCACATGTTTCTTCTAAACTGACCGTCGGGGCACTTTTTTATACAGATTGGTCCCAATGTCTCTATTTCAGCTAATGTTCGGATAGGTGCAGGGGTAAGGCTTATAAGTTGCATCATCTTAGATGATGTTGAAATTAAGGTATGGAACTCTATACATAAACCAAACCATGACCTGATATAAACGCATGTATCTGTTCATATATAACCAAATATGTTTTTGCCTTGCAGGAAAATGCAGTTGTAATCCATTCCATTGTGGGATGGAAGTCATCAATTGGAAAATGGTCACGTGTCCAGGCAAGTTCAGTAATGTAGTTGTATTATTTTGTAATCATCGGTTTTTAAGATCATACTATTAGATTTAAGTTTTTCAGAAATGGTTATTGAATAAACCCTTCGTTTAAATGATGAACATAGTACCCTGAATCTGATTTTGCAAGAGTACAATGAAGATAAGTTTAGATTGGAAAAACGATGGTTGATAAATGGGAATTGATTCTTGATCAAGGATCACAAAAAAGCCTTAAACAATCTTCAAGTGGTGAACTTCTTTTGGTGGAATGAAGCGGTGACTGTTGTGACAGGCCAAAAATCCCCCGATACTTGATCACATTTATGCCTTTTTTTTTTATTTTTGACAGGCCAAAAATCCCCCGATACTTGATCACATTTATGCCTTTTTTTTATTTATTTATTTTTTTTTTATTAACAAGTGTGGATGATTGCTAGTTGTGGCTGATGAAGAATCCACTTACTCTTTCAGGCTGAGGGAGACCACAATGCAAAGCTGGGAATTACCATTCTTGGTATGTAGCCTTGACTTCCCATTATCTCTATTGTTCATACTCTTTGAAGCTCAATGGAGAAACTTCAAAGACTTGGACCAACTTTGAGTCTATCTTTTCATTCCATGCAGGAGAAGCCGTGACTGTTGAAGACGAAGTTGTAGTCATCAACAGCATTGTTCTCCCAAATAAGACTCTTAATGTTAGTGTACAAGAGGAGATCATATTGTAGGGACAGTTACGGCAGAGAGAAAGAGAGCTCTAACCTCCTAGTTTTGTTGTACTAATGGTTCTGTATAATCGCGGTGCCAAAACAGGGAGGGACAGATTTTTATCGGCCGACAAGAGAAGGAAAAACATTGCTTTGATTTTTGCCATCACATAATAAGATGTCATCAATTTATTAAATCTCCTATTTGGAGAGACAAATATTCCTATATGGATAAAGGTTTGATTGTTTTAGTACCAAGTTTTTGGGTTATTATTTGGCAAAGAAAATTTGCGGAGGAAAGATGGCAATTGACACGCTCACAGACTCACAGTAAGAAATATTACTGCGTGAAGGTCCACTTTTGTTAGGATTAAGTTAATGAGTTTCAGCAAATATTAACAAAAACCGAGTTAAAGATATGGCTTTCGCATCATCACAACCTCAAAAATCAAAGTATCAAAAACATCGTCTCTTAAAAATAAAAAAGAAAAAAAAAAAGATCGACCACCATTGCACGAGTACAAGTTACAACCTCATTTCTCTTAAGGTGGATGATTCAACTCCGTAAAAGCAAAATTGTGCCTGAAATAACTCGAATATCATCCTCGTTGTATACTTTGGGGAGTGAAACTCTAATCCTAAATCCCCCAGATTCAACTCCGTAAAAGCAAAATTGTGCCTGAAATAACTCGAATATCATTCTCGTTGTATACTTTGGGGAGTGAAACTCTAATCCTAAATCCCCTTACTTACAATGAGCCACAAATATCATCTCTATTACATAATGTGAACACCAACTGTACACCAAAATATTCATGAGTCAATTATCTTCCAATTATTTTCCTCGGCAAAGCCACCTATATTTTCTCACTTCTATGAACTCTGCCCGCCTTCCAAATCTTCGACCGTTAGATAAGCTTCCTTGATTCAACTATAGAAGCATAAAAATTGGCGGCAAACTGATGGTGGTAAATGAGCATCAACGAGACTAGAGTCGCAGAAAACCAAGTGGAGGAATTATTGTTGTGGACGTAGGTCTAACTTGTAAGCCTGAATTTCCATGGGAGAAACCAAAACGTGTCCCTCTTGTGCAACTTCACCAGATTGCTCAGGATACCCAAGCATCTCCGAATCTTCATGCAAAAGATTCAAGGAAGTTGCTTTTGCATTCAAAACCGCAAGCTCCCTGAACATGTGAAACAGATTAACAGGTTCTTTGGCGATGCTGGTGCACTGTGACCTGCCCTTGTGACAGTATGATGAATCCCAACTTAGCCTCTGTAAGATTAGCACGAACCTCGGATCTCCGACTTGTTGCTGAGAGTATTTCAAAGGCCTGGGAACCTTAAAGCTAACAATGTGCAAGTCGCATGGTAAGGAAATTGCCAATGGGGCAAAAGATCTTGGCGGTGGCCGCATGGACATATCTTGTGGCTTCTTGGAAATGAATGCATGTAGTGGGTAGTTCAAGTGAGCACCGATGCGGTGAGAAAGAAGAGACGGGTTTAAGGGCAAAGAGTTTGAAACTGAGTTTTTAGTAGAGGAAATATTGGACTCTACAAGGATGTGAAAGATCACATTCATTGCACGGTTGTCCATCACGCCTTGCCCAAGACCACGTCCATCATCTCTTACCAAACGACGATCAAGCATAATCTCTAACCATCCATCTTTAACGCTTGCAACACCCAACGACTGTCGGGAATGGACAGAGAACCGCTGACCATTAGATCCTTGCATGAACGCAAGAGAAGGCATGGGGTAGTAATTTCCTTGCACTGGAATTTTGTCGTAGGTTTCTCTCCGGCTCATCTGGAAGCCATTTAAATCCGAAAAGAATACTCTCTTGCTATCAATATCAGTTTTGTACCTGGTTATTATCTCCTTATCATCAAATTCAGCTCCAAGAAGCTCAACATGATATTCCTTCTCTATAAGAAACTCCTGTACAGTATTTTCTCCATTATACAACCGGGTACTATGGGAAATGGGGCTTTTCACCCATTCCGTATGTGGATAAGAAAATAATTCTTGCATCAAAGAGCCCTCAGAGATCACAATTTGTCCACCTGATTTAACAATAGGTTGGGCATCACCAGTTGGTTTGAACAGGTACGCTCCACTTCCCCAGCTAGAGTACATAGATATTTCTTCACCGACCACATTTTGAGAACCATCTTTGTGGATTATTTTCTGCAACAGACCAGTTGCGACATCAAAGGTGAGGGTCTGATGCCGATTCCGGATTTGGACTGTGTCATCTTTGGCTTTTGAACACGCATAAGGAGTTGGACAAGGCAATGAACCAGACTTAGAGAAGAATTTTAGTTTTGATGGCTTGGCTTTTTCGCATCCAGCAAAACCGTTAGCAATGTAATATGTTTGCAACCCTAGTGCAGGAATAGAAGCTTTAAAATAGACACGATGCCTCCCACTGAAAATGTTGCTTTTGTCATGCTGCAATTCAGGAGCAGTTTGACTTTGAATGCATGTCCAGTTTGAATCCACAACAGTAACATCCGGTTTGTTAACAATAACCATCACAACCTCTTCTCTTGCTTGCTCTGAAGGATTGAATAAGACCACCGATTGATACGTCCCTTCACGAGAAATTATGGTCTTATGAACAGGCTGAGCATCATACTTAGATCTCACCTGTGCAGGCTCAAACTGAGAAGGATTCTGATCTGATTTCTCATGGCGTATTTTAAGCAGCACTTCAATAGCCTTAGACAAGAAAATCTGCAAGTCTTGCAAGGAAGTATGCATCCGAGTCCCATAGTCTAGGACCACATGATCCTTTGCAGTACCAGTCACCCCATCATGATGCTGGAAAAGAGCCAAATTTCTTCTCGCAGCCGTCAGTTTGTAGGAAAACCCCACCGGCAATTTCTCACATTGTGCTCTCTGACAGTACCCAAGCAATAGAGCCATCATCATATCTGTAGCACGGAGTGTTTGCTCTAGAACCCGATCAACAGCCTTGAAAAAAGGCCTCGAGACATAATAACCACTCCAATAGTCCTGTTGCCTATCAGCATAAGTAAAGAAGTCACCTGATAGAGAAGGAAACCCTCCAACCTGTCCAGAGCCAACCTCACCAGGGCGAGAGTAATTTATTCTCTCAGACTCCTCACGAAGAGTTCGAAAGTAGTCTTCCAAAGTTCCAAACTTAGCCTCTGCATTTAAGGAGGGATTAGAATTGATATAATCAAATAACAATTGATAATTCCTAAATTGAGCTTCAGCTTCATCAACGTTGATGTAGCGGAAATCATCTCCAAGAGGAACAAGAAGTGTGTTTGTCCTGTATAAGGTTGATTTCTTCCTATATTGATCTAGTAGTTTGAATGCCCTTTCCTTAACATTCTCTTGATTGGTCTCTACAGGATGATCTCCCCATGGACAGGATTCATACGTGAAACTACGCATTCGAGCAAAGTCAAACTGGCAACAAATTGCAGGCTCTGGTCCACAAGTATGTGGAATATCATAAGAATAGAAGGGCATCATGTGGACAAAAATATCAGTAGTTTCCTCTGCATCCCAACTCTGACGCCATATATATTCCAAATTTTTATGAAGAGAAAGTTCCTTCTTCAGCTCGTAATGGGTCCTCTGGATAAGCATATTATCAAAACCCATTCGACGGAGAAGATATGCCATGGTAGGTGAGTAACCAAATGGATCTATTGCCCAAGAATTTTTAGGAATAGCTCCAATATTGTCATTCAACCACATATTCCCCTCTGTGATCTGATACACCAATTGCACAAGACAAAGCAGATACTAAGAATAGCATACATACAGCTGTGCTTACAGTAAGAGTAAAAAAGATACAGATGAAAGGATGCTCCAAGCAATGCAAACGCATTGCATATTAAGGCCCTGATTTTATGGATATGAGCAATTTAAAGAAATAAAACAAAGGAAGTTTTGAGTTTACCTGCTCAATAATGGCAAAATAATGTGAATTAGCCTGCATCAGAAAGAGGTTATCATGGTAAGTGAAGCTTCCAAAATGCTAATTCATTTATTAACTATATGCATCAAAAAATGAATAAACTACCCATTCTTTCCCTGATAATGAACCATGATGATTTTATCTATACTATAGGAAGGATCTCACATATTGATTCATGAACATAGTTTTCCTGTGCGGTTATCACTTGGTGATCCTACCCTTGAACATAACAAACTGTCCAGTTACTAAATATAATACTAACAAGCTTTATTCTCATGAGACACGCGTTATATGAGCCAAAACCTCCTATTGTTTGCTAGTCAACCTGTTATTGGGTAGAGACATGCACATTTTTCTCACTCTCTAGAAAAGCTATTTATAATTTATAAACTTACTTAAAGGATATCACAAGTAGAAATCCAACTCATCGTTTCAATATAACAGAGTTTATGGCTATCAAGCTTGCTGCATTGCAATGATCTTCTTGTTGTAAGTGATTGCAGGGTAGCTGTTAAAGTCCTTAATGGTTCAATTCCTTGTCCGGAATGGTGGTGTTCCACTATTGTTGGTCCCATTTTATCTTTACGTTCTAGTTTTAGTTATATTTCCTTCAAGTGGATTCCTAGATCCAACAATGTTAGTGCTAATGCTCTATGTAAATGGGCTCTTAGGTCTAAGAGTTCTGGTCTTTTCCTTTTACAGGAGGTTGCCCCTGATGTGGCATCCATCTTTTCTGCTATTTAAGTAAAGCACTACTTGTTCTTGAGCAAAGAATCTAACAGAGAAATTTCTAAGAGATACACGAGCATAGAGAAAAGAAGTTATCATGGTATATGAGAAAACATATTCTAGGCATATAAAATATTTTACCGGAATAACCATCAAACAACCATACAAAGTTTAGGGTCAAAATGACAATAAATAAGCCCATGAAAATTGAAAATTACCTCATCATTCATCACCCAGCCACCACCAACAATCTCTAACTGGCCATTCTTCACTAGATTGACGAACGATTCCTTTCTGTTATCTGAGGCATCCCTCCACCATCTCTCCAAATACGACATCTCTTCCCATATAAACTTCCTTCGAGAGTCCTACAAAATTCAAATCCAAACAATTCAATTCTACTAAAAATTCTCATACATACCAAAGGAAACTCTTAAAAACAACAATAAACCCAAAAAAAAATCTCACCTTGGAAAGCGTGTCGACAATCGTGTCGAGAATGTGCCTGGACTGCCTATCATAGTACTCCTCGACGGTGAGCTTCCAGCCAGGATCGTTATGCGAATGAGGCACCACAATGATCTTCAATTTCTCCGTATCCCACTCGTCTCCTCCATAGGTCACCTTCCAACCTTGCTTCCAAGCACCGCCGTCCACATCCAGGAACTCAATCTTGTCGTACAAGCCCTTGGTCGTGATATCCACGGCGGCTCCGGCGTCGCCACCCGAAACGGGCTTCCGGTAGCTCGGTTTTCGAGGTTTAGCTATTCGGGCCGTGTTGCGGGATCTGAAAGTGGAGGTGATCGGCGTGGGGACGCCGTAGCGGAGGACGACGAGGAAGAAAAAGAAGAGGGAGACGAAAAGGCCGATGGCGAAGAAGTTCTTGAAGAGGAAGTCCTTTAGGGCTAATCGCCGGCGAGATTTTCTGGAGAATTTGGATTTGGAGGTGGAGGAAGGGGAAGATACGGAGGTCGACGGCAGGAGAGAGTTCGCCCAGCCGCCACGGCGCGTGGAGAACGCCATTGATGAGAGATCGAGGTTGGTCTGTTGCTAAATAAAGCGGAATCGAATTAGGTGTTTGGAACTCTCATTTCTTTTGTTTTTTCGGGTCAACTGTCAGGTTTTCAACGAGACTGAGAAGGGAGAGAAGTGAAGTGCTAGATCGGAGGTGTTAGGGATCTATGGTGGGATTTGTAGTTGCAGAGACAAATCAAGAAGATGACCGACATTCCTTTCTGGATGGTGGGACCAGTTAGTGGCAATTTGGTAAAACTGATCCCTGATTTTTCAGACTTTTCTTTTTGGGCTTGTTCTTTGCCCCGTTTGAGTTAGGTAATTTGAGTGCAAATCTTGAGTTAATTTTAATTTATAACTTGAGTAATTATAACTTGAGTTTGTATTTAGTTGTGTATATTTAAGTTATAATTTGATATAAGAATCTTTTTAAGTTTGTATTTGAGTGAGTCAAAATTTGAATTTATATTTAGATAGTATTTTAATAAAAACTCAATGCTGATGAAAAATTTTAATAAGGTATATGGGTGCGATTTCATTCGTCTTTTCGTTGTCAACGCATAGAAAAAAAATCATCTCAATCAGAATTAAAACGAAAAAGCTATAACATTTTTAAAACTAGAAAAAATATTGTTTATTAATTTGAGTTTGAGTTTCTAAACTCGAATTGAAAGGGAAACTTAAACTCGAGTTTTAGGCCTCGTTCATTTCACCGATTCGAATTTTCAATTTTAGGTTTCTACAGTAAAAAGCTCTCAGAAAATGTTACATCAATTTTTTCTGCTACAGTGAAAAGCTCTCAAAATATGTCACATCTTAGCTCGGATTAAAAACTCGAATCCGCGAAGTCTCAAACTCAAGTTCAAACTTAAAAGAACATGAACTTGAATAAAGTTGTAACTCGAGTTGTTTTTTTTTTTTTTGAGTTTTTGACTCAAGAAAGGGGCCGTCTAACAGCCCCTTTTTTCTTGAAGATTTTTCTTACTTTTTTTTTTATATCACGGGATTGTTCTTAAAAAAAAAATGTACGGATGATTCTTAAATTTTTTAAAAGATCACAGTTTAATTTCTAAGAGTTGTTCTTTTAGAGTGTGACTTGAGTGTAATTTTTGAGTTGAATTTGAATTATAACTTGAGTTAAAGTTGTAATTTGAATAAAATTAAATAAAGTTGAATAAAATTAGAACTTAAAACGTGAATTTAAATAAAATTATAATTTGAGTTTAAACTTTTTCTTTTATTGCAAAAGAACAACCCTAAATCTTTTTTAATAAAATGAATCTCACACTCTTTAAAAAGAGTACAATATAATCCTGCCGTCAATTTCCGTCTAAAATATAACGGACAGTATTTTGTACTCAGGTAACTCATATGTCATGAGTATATGTGTAAAATCACATGTTTGGGCACATTTTCTCTCTCTTCTGGTTTGAAATAAGTACCTTCTTGTTTTCACTTGCCCTTTCTATGGAACTTATCTGAAAGGACTTTTTTTATATAGATCAAAACTCTGAAAATCAACAAAATTCTCCATTTAACCACTATCTTCAAATGGCTCCAATTTCAAATTCAGACATTTCTCACAACTTTTCTAACCAAAAAAGTTGAACCAAGTCAAAATTGCACTAAAAATACTCTCCATTCCTAAAACAATCCTAGTTTCGAAATACCCAATTGGATGACAAAATAAAGGAAGAAACTTTCAGGAACTGGAATTACCCAAAAATGCCCATGACGACAGTTGGGTGGTGGGTCCCATCGTTGATGATGCACGAATTGTGTGAGGAAGTTCGAAGCAGATTTTCTTCAACATGAAGTTGCTGCAAAATGGGAAGGCCTTTGAATCTGACCAGATTCATCCCAATGCTTCTGCTAAGAAGGCCATTCATTGTCGGCTATTTTCCGAGATTTTTTTTTTCTAGGGCTTATTCTTATCAGTCTTCAAAAGCCCCAAACAACCAGCAAAACAAACATTTATTGAACCAATCTTCCATGATCGATCAATCTATGCTATGTGTGCTACAATATTTATTTCCCTTAATTTGATCTCTCTCTCTCTCTCTCTCTTCGATCGTTTTAGAGAGAGAACCACAGAATGGCCATGGCGGCTTCCCAATCCTCCACGACCACTCTCCTCCAAAGCTCCTTCCTTTCGTCGAAAGCTTCGCCCAAACTATAACTCTCTGCAACCTCCGTCCCTTCTCCTCTCAACCCTCGCCGCCGATCCCCTTCCGTCCGGTGCTCCATCGCCGCCGCGCCGTCGGCGGCCACCAAGGCGGCTAGGGAGTGCTCTACGCCGTCAAGAACATCAATGAGGTTCTTTGCGAGACAAAAATCAATGAGGCTTCTGGGTATTTGGAGAGAGAATAATGTAACAGCTACAAGGGTATTTTTGTCTTTCCAGCCAAAAGAAGGGTTCACGTGAGCAAAAAATGCACTGTGCCATTATATTTTAGACGGAAATTAACGGCAAAGACTACAGGACACCCTTTTAAAGAATTTGACGTTTGTTTCATTAAAAAAATATTAATGTGACGTTTGGTTCATGGATTCAAATCATGTGATTAGAATTATTTTTAATTTACGTGTAATTTTTATGAGAGAAAATATTATAGAGAACTACGAACCATAATTTGAATCAGAAAACGAATCTAGATACTAAACGGACTCTAAGATTAAATTATCACGTTTTAAAAAATTTGGAGACTATCCGTACAATTACTCAAAAAAAAATATACACTCTTTAAGCTACGTGCAACGTAGGAAATATAAGTGTATGTTTGATCTTATATCAAAACACATGATATCTTTAAAAGGTAAATCTATTAATTAAAATAAGAAAAAAAATTATTTATGTCTCGTTCATTTTACCGATTCGAGTTTTCAGTTTTAGGTTTTTACTGTAAAAAACTCTCAGAAAATGTCACATCTAACTTTTTTTACTACAGTGAAAAGCTATCAGAAAATGTCACATCTCAGTTCGAATTAAAGACTTGAATTCGCGAAGTGAACGATGCCTTAAAAACTCTCAAAAACATTAAAGCTATATAAGAGTTTTCGACTAAAAAAATAATAAGAATACATTTAAAATGAATTATTTTAATAAATAAAAAGTAAGAAAAATAAAGTATTTTAAATAAAAATATTATAAGATAAATTGTTAAAAAATGTTAGGAGAAAAAATAAAAAATAAAATAGTTAAAAGATTTTTTTTTTAAGGAAAAGATAGCAAGAGGATAAGTTGAAAAATGGAAAAAAAAAAATAATAATAAAGTCATGTAACAGTTTTTGAATTAAAAAAAACGTAAGTATGGTCATAAGAGAATTATTTTAATTAAAAACAAAAAAATATTAAAATAATTAAAAAATGGAAAATTGTAACATGTTAACTGCGGGAAGCGCACTTAGAAGTAAATAATCGAAGTCTTTAGTTTTTTTGTAATGTATGTTAGATTAAATTAGATTAGATCAAACAAATTAAATTAAATTAAAAAATTATAATAATTAAATTATTTTAGTCGGAGCAAAGTAAGAGAAAAAAAATATCACAAATAAACATATTATGTAACTAAACTATAGGAAAGTTCTTGGCAAAAAGGGGAAAAAAGTGTAAAAGGGGAAAAAAAGTGTAAAAGGAAGGGAAAAAAATAAATAGAGAAAAGGAAAAAAGAATTAGAAAAACTAATTAAATTTAATAAAAGCTGGGAAAATAGGAAAGTGGATAAAAAGAAAGTCAAAAAAACACAAAAGAAAAAAGAGGGAAGAACCAAAAAAAAAAGGAGCTGACATGTGGGAGCATGTGACAGTAAGGCTGGTAATTTCAAACACGCGTGATAAAATAATACGAAAATAATATGAGATAAATAAATTTAGATTGTATGATTATTAATTGTGTTGTTAACAGATTAACACGAATAACATGAAAATAAATGGACTGAATTCGTGCCAGCCCGTTTAACATGTTTAACCCGTTTAGTTATACGGGCCGTTAACAGATCAACACGACACCGTACGGCCCGCCTATTTATAACTCATATACAAAAATAAAAAATTTAAAAAGACATTCAACCTTATGACATTTATAAAAAGACATCCATAAATATATTAAAGCAACTTCAAACTAATTTTAAAGCGTAGTTAGGCATTCAACCTCAAATAACTTAAACATTTAAATGTTTGGTTATGTTTTCAAACTTATTTATATGTACTTGGTTATGTTTTCAAACTTCTTTAGATGTTTGGTAATTGGTCATGTCTTGAAACACACATATATATATATATATGATAATCTAGTAGTATTATATATATGTGTGTGTGTTTGATATTTGGATATTTTTATGTGCGTTGGCTATTATGGAGAATTAGAGGATTTATATTTTTCTTCTTATATGCTCGTCATATTTTAACTATAAGTGATATTAAGTAGTCAATTAATATGAGTTTTAAGTACAATATAAAATTCTGCTATTTTTGTTAGTTGGGTCATAAATGTGTTTTTTTCGTGTCGACCCGTCACGGCTCGTTTAATAATCATAATCACGTGTCGTATGGTGTTAATCGTGTTGTTAGCGTTTCGTGTTTAAGTTTCTGACACGTTTATTAATCATGTCGTGTTTATTATAATCGTGTCGGCCCGAACACGACACACAAACACGAATTGCTAGTCCTATATGGAAGTGAGAAAAAAAAGTAGTAGTTTGACTCTTTTATGTATAGAATATAAATAGATAGAGAAGATGTACAGATCTAGCATTTCTCCCATTTTCATTGCATATGCAGTAGATATTAAAGGCTTATTTATTTACACCCAAACTAAAAAAAAAAACTCAAGTTAAAACTTTATTTAAGTTCATGCTCTTTTGTTAAATTTAAGTTTGAATTTGAGTTTTGGGCTAAAATTTGAGTTCAAATTCCTCCTTCAACTCAAATTTCTAAACTCAAATTCAAGTTAATAAACAATATATTTTTTCTATTCTTAAAAACGCTATAACTTTTTCGTTTTAATTCTGATTTAGATGATTTTTTTTCTATGCGTTCACAACAAAGAGACAAATAAAATCTCACCCATATACCCTATTAAAATTTCTCATCATCATTGAGTTTTTATTAAAATACCATCCAAAATACAAATTCAAATTTTAACCCACCTAAACACAAACTCAAATAGATTCTCAAGTAATTAAAATTAATAAAAGCTAGAAAAAATAGGAAAGTGTATAAAAGGAAAGTCAAAAAAACACAAAAGAAAAAAGAGGGAAGAACAAAAAAAAAGGAGCTGACATGTGGGAGCATGCAGAAGTAGGGTTGGTAATTTCAAACATGCACGATGAAATGATACGAAAATAATACGAGATAAATGAGTTTAGACAGTACGATTATTAATTGTGTCGTAAACAGACTAACACGAATAACATGAAAATAAATTGGCTGGATTCGTGCAAGCCCATTTAACATGCTTAACCCGTTTTGTTATACGGGTCGTTAACGAACCAACACGACACGGTACGGCCCGCCTATTTATAACTCATATACAAAAATAAAAAATTTAAAAAGACATTCAACCTTATGACATTTATAAAAAGACATCCATAAATAGATTAAAGCAACTTGAAACTAGTTTTAGAGCGTAGTTAGGCATTCAACCTCAAATAACTTAAACATTTAAATGTTTGGTTATGTTTTCAAACTTATTTATATGTACTTGGTTATGTTTTCAAACTTCTTTAGATGTTTGGTAATTGGTCATGTCTTGAAACATATATATATATATATGATAATCTAGTAGTATTATATATATGTGTGTGTGTTTGATATTTGGATATTTTTATGTGCGTTGGCTATTATGGAGAATTAGAGGATTTATATTTTTCTTCTTATATGCTCGTCATATTTTAACTATAAGTGATATTAAGTAGTCAATTAATATGAGTTTTAAGTACAATATAAAATTCTGTTATTTTTGTTAGTTGGGTCATAAATGTGCTTTTTTCGTGTCGACCCGTCACGGCTCGTTTAATAATCATAATCACGTGTCGTATGGTGTTAATCGTGTTGTTAGCGTTTCGTGTTTAGGTTTCTGACACATTTATTAATCATGTCGTGTTTACTATAATCGTGTCAGCCTGAACACGACACACAAACACGAATTGCTAGTCCTATATGGAAGTGAGAAAAAAAGTAGTAGTTTGACTCTTTTATGTGTAGAATATAAATAGATAGAGAAGATGTACAGATCTAGCATTTCTCCCATTTTCATTGCATATGCAGTAGATATTAAAGGCTTATTTATTTACACCCAAACTAAAAAAAAAAAAAAACTCAAGTTAAAACTTTATTTAAGTTCATGCTCTTTTGTAAAATTTAAGTTTGAATTTGAGTTTTGGGCTAAAATCTGAGTTCAAATTCCCCCTTAACTCAAATTTCTAAACTCAAATTCAAGTTAATAAACAATATATTTTTTCTATTCTTAAAAACGCTATAACTTTTTCGTTTTAATTCTGATTTAGATTATTTTTTTTCTATGCGTTCACAACAAAGAGACAAATAAAATCCCACCCATATACCCTATTAAAATTTCTCATCATCATTGAGTTTTTATTAAAATACCATCTAAATACAAATTCAAAATTTAACCCACCTAAACACAAATTCAAATAGATTCTCAAGTAATTAAAATTAATAAAAGCTGGAAAAAATAGGAAAGTGTATAAAAGAAAAGTCAAAAAAACACAAAAGAAAAAAGAGGGAAGAACAAAAAAAAAGGAGCTGACATGTGGGAGCATGCGGAAGTAGGGTTGGTAATTTCAAACATGCACGATGAAATGATACGAAAATAATATGAGATAAATGAGTTTAGACAGTACGATTATTAATTGTGTCGTTAACGGACTAACACGAATAACATGAAAATAAATTGGCTGGATTCGTGCAAGCCCGTTTAACATGCTTAACCCGTTTTGTTATACGGGTCGTTAACGGACTAACACGACACGGTACGGCCCGCCTATTTATAACTCATATATAAAAATAAAAAATTTAAAAAGACATTCAACCTTATGACATTTATAAAAAGACATCCATAAATAGATTAAAGCAACTTGAAACTAGTTTTAGAGCGTAGTTAGGCATTCAACCTCAAATAACTTAAACATTTAAATGTTTGGTTATGTTTTCAAACTTATTTATATGTATTTGGTTATGTTTTCAAACTTCTTTAGATGTTTGGTAATTGATCATGTTTTGAAACATATATATATATATATATACATGATAATCTAGTAGTATTATATATATGTGTGTGTGTTTGATATTTAGATATTTTTATGTGTGTTGGCTATTATGGAGAATTAGAGGATTTATGTTTTTCTTCTTATATGCTCACCAGATTTTAACTATAAGTGATATTAAGTAGTCAATTAATATTAGTTTTAAATACAATATAAAATTATGCTATTTTTGTTAGTTGGGTCATAAACGTGTTTTTTTCGTGTCGACCCATCACAGCTCATTTAATAATCATAATCACGTGTCGTGTGGTGTTAATCGTGTTATTAGCATTTCGTATTTGAGTTTCTGACACGTTTATTAATCATGTCATGTTTACTATAATCGTGTCAGCCCAAACACGACACACAAACACGAATTGCTAGTCCTATATGGAAGTGAGAAAAAAATTAGTAGTTTGACTCTTTTATGTATAGAATATAGATAGATAGAGAAGATGTACAGATCTAGCATTTCTCCCATTTTCATTACATATGTAGTAGATATTAAAGGCTTATTTATTTACACCCAAACTAAAAAAAAAAAAAAAAAAACTCAAGTTAAAACTTTATTCAAGTTCATGTTATTTTGTAAAATTTAAGTTTGAATTTGAGTTTTGGGATAAAATATGAGTTCAAATTCCCCCTTCAACTCAAATTTCTAAACTCAAATTCAAGTTAATAAACAATATTTTTTCTATTCTTAAAAACGCTATAACTTTTTCGTTTTAATTTTGATTTAGATGATTTTTTTTCTATGCGTTCACAACAAAGAGACAAATAAAATCCCATCCATATACCCTATTAAAATTTCTGATTGTCATTGAGTTTTTATTAAAATACTATCTAAATACAAATTCAAGTTTTGACTCACCTAAACACAAACTCAAATAGATTATCAATTCAAACTACAACTCAAAATGCGTACACCCAAACACAAACTCAAATTAGAGTCCCAACTCAAATCATATTTAAATACACCTTAACTCAAATCAAGATCGGAACTCAAGCTACCTTTAACTCAACAAATACAAATGAACAAGTCTTAAATAATTTGAGGATTTATCTATTTGGGTCGTGGAAAACGTGTTAGATTGAAGCCTAATTATATAACCCAACTTAACCCGGCCCCACAAAAAGAGTCGAGTGGCATTAGGTGGAAGACTTATGCCCCAATAGTCTAATCGGCTCGGTCTATACGTTTGATTCATTTATTTAGGCCATGTTTAGTTCGCTGATTTAAGTTTTTAATTCAAGTTAAACTGCGACTTTATATGAGAACTTTTTACTGTAGTAAAAAAGTTATATGTAACTGTTTCTGAGAGTTTTTTACTGTAGAAAAACTCAAATTCTAAACTCAAATCGGTGATTGTCACTTGGCCATCGTAGGAACAAGAAGCATGGATTGATACAATTATGTTCTCGCTTGTAATTTATGTTTTAATTTTGGAGTAAAGATCAAAGAACCAATAAGAAGGGATTAAAAGAATCAGAAACAATGTCTCCACATAAGATCCAAACGGGTCACCAATGGTGGAGATAGGGGCGGGGGCCATGGCCCCTCTAGTTTTTTTTTTTTTTTTAACATACTAGTTTTAATTTGAATACAATAGATATGTATATAAATTAGACTTAAGTTACTTAAATTAACAGTTTTTTATATTTTATTTGGCTAACCGTTTAGATTTTTTTAAATAAAATATTAAATTTTATTAAACCCATAAACATTAGTATAATTTTGATTAAAAAAATTAACTTTCTACTAGTAAATTCTAACTCCGTGGGTCACCAAGACACCGCCCACACCATAACTATGGATTATTATGGAAAAAAATTGGCAACGGCATAAGACTATTGGCGTTGGCAACAACTCTGGTTCCCGACAAATTGCTTCTTGTTCCTACGATGACCAAGTGATAATCTAGAAAGAGGGCAAGCAAAATGAATGGCAACAAGCGCATGCTTTTGAACTTGAAACGGCACGTCCTTATCATTTGATTAGTTTCCAACATATATATATATATATATTAATGAAATTAAAATGGTGCGACCAACAATCAGAGTGCATGAAAACAGTGGGCCCGATAACATTATGATGAATATTTTAACCTAATGAATTTAGAATCACCTACTATGTACCGCTAATTTATTGAGTAGATAATAAAGAATTCTGTTGTAAGGTATGATAAGTTAACAAAATTTACAAAACTTTATGGTTTATCATTGTATCTCACGAATAAGGTATCTTTTCATATCCTACCAAAATAATAGAGAATTTTGTTGCAAGGTATCATGACTTAACAAATTTGACATGCGAACAAGATATCTTAAGGGTTGTTTGGTTGGGGGATTCGTATCCCGATTCGAATTATGATTCATAGTTCATTATAGTATTTTTTTCACAAAAAATACATGTAAATAAAAAATAATTTTAATATTATAATTCTAATCTATAAACTAAACGTTTCCTTAATTTTTTTTATATTCTACCATATAATTCTCGTATAATTTATAAAATATTGTTGTTTTCTTGCTAGGCATGGACGTTATGGGCCGGCATGAGGCATGCGAATTACCAAAATTGCCCTCCCACCAACCGCGGCACGAGTGGGCACAGAAGGCGCTATAAGTAATTTAAACCTAACCGCGCTTCCAGATCTCAATTTGAATTCCCGCGCACTTGTAATATATTTCTCCTATAAACTCCGTGACTGACTATGAGGTTAAAATCAGATTCCGACCAATAAAAGAAAATACAAACCAGATCCAAACGCAACTTTTTTGCCTCTTGTTTCCCTTGAAATTCGTGAACCCGCCAAAGAATCTTCTTCTTCCTCCGCCGATTTCAACGACCTGTGCTTCGTCTCTCGCTATTCTCTGAAGAAAAAGAAGAACCAATTTGGTCTTTTGACGAAGCTTTTTCGAAGAATGTCTTCATCGGTTTCTCGTGAAATTGATTCCAGAGATAGCGCTTATTGTCGCAAAGAGAAATCGCTTGGAGTCTTATGTTCAAAGTACTTTCTTTTCCACTTTTTTCTTTGCTCCTTTTCATATCTCAGTTTGATTTGTTCAAGCTACTTGTTTTTCTTTAATTAATTAATTTATTTTTTCGTAAAAACAGTTTTTTGAGGTTGTACAATCGAGAAGATGTGAGAACGATCGGACTTGATGATGCTGCTTCCAAATTAGGTCTTGATCCAATGTTTATCATTTACTTTCAAAGCTTTTTTCTTTTTATCTAGTTTATTTAATTCAGATAAGCATTTTTGGTATACTCTGAAATGATTCTCATTGACGAAACCGTAGCTCAAGATTCGAGTTCTTTTTTTTTTTCTTGATTGACTTAAATAAAAACTCACTTTGATTTGCAGGAGTTGAGCGGCGCCGCATGTATGACGTTGTCAATATATTGGAAACTGTTGGTGTAAGTTTTCGATTTTATTTTGTTTGTTTGTTTCTTTTTTTTTTAAGGATTTTAATTTTCTCAAAGTTTAGTTATTTTTCCGTGGTTCTTCTATAATTTTAAAATTTTCCTGAGTTGTTTGGTCTTTGAATCTCTAGGTTGTAGCAAGAAAAGCTAAAAACCAGTATACATGGAAGGGTTTAGAGGAAATCCCTTGGGTTCTGGAGCAGCTGAAGGTAAATGTGGTGTTATTATTTTATTTATTTTTAATTTTGAATTTATTTTGGATTTGAAGCCGAGACACATTTTCTATTCTGCTTTTACAGGAAGAAGGTTTGAGAGAAAATTTCAATGCTACTATTTGCAGCATTACTACTAGAGTATGTTACATTGAAACTATGTCATGTTTCCTTTTATTTTACTTTGAAATGATACATATGAAGTATTCAATATAGATATCTTGTTGAAGAATTTTGATTTTCATTCATTGAAACCGGGAAAGAAATGAACAAGTACTAATAGAAACTGAAGCAACTAAATTCTCATTTTAGTGAATAACTTTTCCATTTTTTTTTAATTATGATTAGGTTTCAAATGACAACGAATATAAAGGGCTTTTGGGTCTGAACACAACAGGAGACGACTATTCTTCTGGGTCGTCCAAAAACAGTAATCTCCATCTCCATCCATGTTCTTTTGTTTGATATTGTGAATTGATTTACTTGGATAAGATCACTGTCAACTCTAAATTGTGTTATCAACTTTATGCACTTGATCCCTCTTTCAAGCCCGAAAAGGAAAATAAGTACTGGTTGGATTCACTTTTGCAGAGTCCATATTCGTGCATAGAATTCTAAAATTCCTATTCGATCTTACTTCGCGTTTTTACTTGTTGCCACAGAAAACAAAAGAGACAAATCTCTAGCGCTTCTCACTCAGAACTTCATCAAGCTTTTTCTTTGTTCGGATGTAAGTTGATTTATGGTGCTATTACAATTACAAATCAGTTCATCACTTTTTCTTGTAGCCTGCTGATACCCACAATTGGCCTTTCAGGTGGACTCGATCTTGCTTGAAAATGCTGCAAAGGCATTGCCAGGTGATGCAGATGATGCGACAGCTCTACGAAGTAATGCACCTTCCATGAGTGTTGTTTTGAAGAATTAACAGCAAGAAATAAGAATCAAACCTATAACTAATACTTTCTACGTGCGATATTTTGCAGCAAAGGTTAGGCGACTGTATGATATTGCAAACGTTTTATCTTCAATGGGTTTGATTGAGAAGGTAAAAGATATTCCCATTAACACCTTAGCACATGGAAGTAGGCTTCAGCAGTCATAACTTTTTTATTCTAATTTTTTCTTCTCACCCCTCCTTTAATTCTCGATGTTTTACAGATCCGTCATCCCGACAGTGGGAAACCAGCATATAGGTGGTTGTGTTGGCGAGGAAAGGCCAATAACAAAGTTGATGCTGCTTCAGATGTGAATGAGCCCAAAATGAGTGGATTCGGAACTGATATCACAAACTACTGTTTCAAGAGAAAGAGAGAAGTTACTGAAGTGGATTGCAAGTCGAGTCAGGAAAGAAGTTGGCAAACGCATGATGGGTTGATCGAACTGGAACCCAACAGTGATGGTGAAGAAATGAAGCAACACACAAAACACCTCCCAAAGGCAATTGAATTTGGTCCTTTTGCTCCTATTAGTGTGTCTAAGGTAGAAGATGCTGCAAATAAAAGAGCAAGACAGATTCAAGACTTGGAAAATTTGGCTTCTACTTATCGTCCTCAGTATCGCAACCAAGGTAAACTTTGAACTGTAATGCATGAATCAAGGAAGTCTGGCTTGTGGCCATACATAATAAATACATATATGTAATCAGAACTTCATCTATTACAACATGATCGATTAACTTTAGCGACATATACGTGGATTACAAAGTATTTGATGAGTTTTTGCAGTAGATACAACACTAAATGGAATTCAAAACACCTCCAACCTTGACATTCCCCTTTCCTTTCAATGGGGAATTTCCTTCCCTGTATTTCTTTTCCTGAAATATGAATTCCTATTCTTCTCTCGTAAATCCAACATCTTAAAAAATTACTCCCCTAAATACAATTCAACCGTTTATTGCTCTACTATCATATCGCTTATAGAAGTTGCAGTTTCTCTGATCTCGCTTATCCAGCAGCTCCGAAATTATCAGCTTGTGGCGTTTCTATCCTTAAAATGCGACAGGGAGCTGCTTGAATACACCATGTATAGAGATTAATTAAAGAGAAAATTACAGGTTCTACCTTTTTAAGTACTTGACTTACTAAAAGTATTCCTTTTAAAAAACTCTATCCCTTAACTAGTTCTAGTCTAAAAGATAGAAATATAAGGACAATGGGTAGAAATAAAAGGGAGCTCAATTTCAAAGGGTATTTTTAAAAATTGCCCGAGATTAAACTCTGCTTTGCTGGTTAGTGACCTTGTGACTGGTTTTCGTGCTAAGAGTTTATATGGAGCTTATCTTTTACAATCTTAGGTACTAAATTGTAGAGACGGCTTTTTGTTGGTGATTTCGCAGCTCTATGTGACCTGTTTACTCATTACATGGAAGCTTGGAAGTCATGGTTCGTCGATGCTGTAGGGAAGCAACAAATGCAACGAATTTGCTGACAAGAATATGCCAAGTTTTTAACCCTCATTTAGGATGATCAACTGCACAGTTGACAGTAGATTACCTTTTTTTTCTTCTTCTAGATTTCCTCCTCATGACATAGCACACAGGTGTACCTTGGATACAAAGTTTTGCTACGATAGCGGGTTGGCACTCATCTGCTACGTTAGTCATACACTAGAAGCCTTGTTTCCCCCCTCCCCTCCCCCTTATAAGAATACAATTTCAGTGCAAGTTCCCAATTCTTGTAAGTTGTAAACTTGTAAGTGACATTTATTGAGCCGAATAATCTGTCAGCTTACAGAGCTTTGTATGATAAGACTTCTCAGTTTTCAAATAATCTGGTTTTGATGCTTATTGCTTAATATCAGTTTATGCAAAGCAATTTTCATATGATTCATATCTTGGTATGCTAATCTATTTTACCTAGTTTTCTCATTATTATTCCAACTTTTACTATTTGATGGAGGGACATTCAGAAGTGCACCACTGAACTTTTTGTGCATCTTTTATGTTTTTGTCACCTAAACCAACTAACCCTCAAAACTTGTCGAACAGTTGCTATTTAGTCCAAATTAATGACGTTGGTTAAACTAATGATGGAAAAATTATTGTACACCACACGACACGTTTTGGCACTCTCTCCTGAATTTTCAATTTGGCGCTTAACCCTTTCTTTCCGTCACTAATTTAAATCGTATTATTAATTTGAGCCGCCTTACAACAATTTGATAAATTTAGAGGGTTAATTTCTAAAATAAAACTTCAATAGACAATATGACAAGTTCAGGGGTGTTAAATGCAAATAACTTTTTTTTTGTTCTTTGAAAAGAAAATATAATGAAATTGTCTCCTGGCCATAATTGTAGGACAATTTCTCAAAGAATAAGTTAAAACTTGGACAAATCTTGTAGCAAAGGCCCACCTAAGAATACTCCGGCCCTTTAATCGCCACAGCTGTACCATCTGAAGACGACTTCCACAAAATCTCAACGGTAAATCCGTAATTTCGTTGCGGAATCAGGGGTAATACAGTAATAAGACATGCCAGTTACAGGAACGAACCGAATTTTTGGTGGGCTCCAAGGGTGAGGGTAAGAAAAAGGTTCGCCGAAGCCGTGGGATCGACCCCCCGAAGTGGCACAATCTCAAACACACAAATAAGAGAGAGAAAAAGCGAGAAGAGAGAGAGAGAGAGAGAGAGCTCTTGCGCTCAGCTCCGTTCTTCTTCATCTTCTTTAATGGCGGCCACAGCTCGAGCTTTCGTTCTCTCTCGCTTCACGGACCTATCTCTCAGGCCTCGCCAACCTCCCCAACCACCTCCACCACCGCATCGCCTAACGAGAACTGCGTTTCCGTTCTTGCAGCGGCATCGTTTCGCGAAGGCTAAGGTTTTTTGCCTTATCTCCGGCGTGGACGGCGGCGGAGTCTCCGACGAGTTCGTTTCGACGAGGAGGTCCAGCTTTGACCGCGGCTTCTCGGTAATCGCCAATATGCTCAAGCGGATAGAGCCATTGGACACGGCGGTTATCTCCAAGGGCGTTTCTGATTCAGCCAAGGACTCGATGAAGCAGACGATCTCAACCATGCTAGGTTTGCTCCCGTCCGATCAGTTCGCCGTGACGGTTAACGTTTCTAAAGGCCCTCTCGATCGCCTTCTAGGGTCTTCGATCATTACCGGGTAACAATTTCAGTCCCCGAATTAGATTTCTACCTTCAATTCGATAAGGGAATGAAGTTTCACATCATAATTGAAAGTGTGTGTGGATTGGTACTGATTTGATTGGATTGGTTTTGGAATTAGGTATACACTGTGGAACGCGGAGTACCGAATATCTTTGATGAGGAATTTTGATATTCCGATGGAGAATTCGGAGAACTTGAATCGGTCGAAGAAGCAGGGAGCTTCCGAAGGGCAGGAAATTGAGGATAAGGACAGTGAAAGAGGTTTCGAAACGAGTATCGAAGAGTTAGAGACAACAAGTCCTCAGGTTTTCGGGAACCTATCTCCTGAAGCTTTGAACTATATTCAACGGTTGCAATCAGAGTTATCCGTCGTCAAGGAGGTGAGTAAGGCTTTTTGTACTTGCTGCACTCTTTTCGTTGAAGCTACTTAACTGTAGAAACTGCATTGAATATGAAATTTAAGCAAGGAAATTGTCTAATACAATACAATTCCCTCCAAACAAAAAAAAAAAAGGAAGAAAAGAAAAGAAATTGTCCAATACAATTTGAAGAGGTTGTGTTTTGCTTGAAACATGCTTTGGTGAAAGGTGGACCATTTCTAAATGATATGAGATTTAAGCATATCGCCCTATGTAATGTTAGCTCATTAACGAGATAGCAATAATGTTTTATGAGTATTCAACTATTCATATATGCTAGACAAGACCCCAAAATTGGTAATTGACAGGTTTTGAGGCTTTTGGTTTATTAAGTAAATGAAAGCATTTTCAGTCGTCCCACCCTCCTATACAAGACTCTACATTACCCATGTTTGCTTTTTGTGATTTGAGTTTTGTAACAATGTTCAATGCTATTATTTGAGTTGCATAATTTCCTTTTGACTTGCGTACAAATGTGTTGTAGATTCAAATGGCTGAATTACATTGTCGCAACTCTTTTATGAATGTTTGGTCTTTTGATTCTGCATATTGCTTCTTTGAACCCTTAATTCTCAGGAGTTCTTGAATGAAAGTAGCTTAGAAACTATTTTGTTACTAAATATTCGTCATAATACTCAAATTTTCTGGGATAAAATCAAAATTGATGTAGTTTTAGTCGTACTTTTCTAGCCATGGAACAATTTGAGGTGTCGAAAAATTTTTCTTGTTCAGTTATTAACTTTTGTCAAGCAGTTTGAGGAGAAAACTTTTCAATGCTTCTTGGTTTCTTGTCGTTGCCACCCACGGCGCTCATGGTTGCTCGGCTTGAGCTCTCAATTAGTTTTGTGTGAGGTGGTGTTAGATTAGCCTTTTCTAATTTGTTGTCACAAACTTATTTACTGAGTTTTATAAGATTTTGACACAACTTGCCGTCAAGATTATCATTACATTTATATTACAAGCTTCTTGGAATGCCATGTCCAAACTGACTGGTGTACATTTTTTCAGGAACTGAATGCTCGAAAGCAGGAAAATTCACGAATAGAATTTAGCAGAGAACATAGGAATGATCTGTTGGATTATCTACGGTCATTAGATTCTAATATGGTAATAGTCTAAACTCTCTTCATTAAAGCAGTATTTCCATTTCAGCCACGAAAGAAGAAGAAGAAGAAGAATGTTAATACTTTTCAGTATTCATCTCCCCAGTAGGTGGCCTTGCCCCTCTCGTAAACTGTAGCTATATTGATACTGGGGTACTTGATTTGTTTCAACAGGTGACAGAACTGTCCAAGCCATCCTCGATAGAGGTAGAGGAAATAATTCACCAGCTTGTTCAAAACACATCGCAGAGATTCTTCAAAGATGATGGTGAAGCAAATTTTATGGGAGAGTCTGTCCCAGGGAACAGAGAAAACTTCCCTGTTGTCAATGATGAATCTTGCAACACCATAGGCACCTCACGTGATTACCTAGCGAAGCTGCTTTTCTGGTTAGAATTCTGCCACTCTTATTCATAAATGGCTTGCTTCTCGTCTTTCCTTTTTCTCTCTCTTCCTAAATAGAGTTCTTTTGAACAAGTTACGCGTATGGAATGTTCTCATTTATAAAGAAACTTGCACATGGTTCACGTTCACACACATGTGGTCACTTCCTTAATTGTTCTAACCAATGGATTCCTTTGGGCACTAAGTCTCGTTTTCCTGTTGGCAGGTGTATGCTATTGGGTCATCATTTAAGAGGCTTGGAGAACAGATTACACTTGAGTTGCGTTGTTGGATTGTTGTAAAGAGAGAGAGAAGAGAGAGTGGGAAACTTGTATATTCTACACCCTTTTCTCCTTTTTCTTCTTTTTTGTATCCATGCCAATGCTTATTTATATTGCTATATATTTCTTTTTAATCTAAAGTGAAACATTCGAGTTTACTTCATTGTCCTAAAATGACATTTTGAATGCCGTTCACTAAGCATACCGAAACCTAAATCTTATGGCTGTTGTAGTTATAGTTTCTTAGTATGATGTTAAATCTCTGTTGTTGCATATTTTGAGGTTAAAATATGAGAAACCTATGCATTTGATGTAAACTATTGTGAAAGAAGTTAGAGCATGCTATGGTTGACGAAATGTGGAATGGACTGACAATTCAAGTTATTTTTATGTTTGACTGGAAAAAAGGAAGCAATTCTACCAAACATATTTAGAAAATAGATTAATGAAATAATCATTTTTTTTTCAAATGTCATATCGATAAAGCTCTTTTGCCTACAATTACCATTAATGTTAATGTTTGACTCTTCCGATTATCTCAATGCAAAGAAATTTTTAAAGGTTAAACTAGATAGTATTTTTGTAAAATGAATATTTATTTTATACTACTCAAATAACTGATTAATATAACAATTGTAATTTTGGTATTCCGTCTTACATTCAGAGGTTTTCTTCCCACCTTTCCCCCTCTCTTTTCCAAGAAAAAAAAGAGAGAAAAAGAAACAATAAATAAATAAATTTGCAATAATAGAATTATGGGCTATGATGTCCAAAACCGTGTGCCAGCCTTGTCTATACTCAATTGACAAACATGTAAGAAAAACAAGAATCGATAAAATATAAAAAAAAAAAAAAAATCACTGTGCAGTGATCTCTCCTCTTAATATATACAAAAATGAATTGAATAATAGAAAAAAAAAAAAAAAAAAACCCAAAAAATAAAAAAAAAAAAAAAAATCACTGTGCAGGGATCTCTCCTCTTAATATATACAAAAATGAATTGAATAATAGAAAAAAAAAAAAAAAAAAACCCAAAAAATAAAAAAAAAAAAAAAAATCACTGTGCAGGGATCTCTCCTCTTAATATATACAAAAATGAATTGAATAATAGAAAAAAAAAAAAAAAAAAACCCAAAAAATAAAAAAAAAAAAAAAAATCACTGTGCAGGGATCTCTCCTCTTAATATATACAAAAATGAATTGAATAATAGAAAAAAAAAAAAAAAAAAAAAAAAAAAAAAAAAAAAAAAACCTCAAGAATTGAAAAAGAAAAAAGCAAAATCCTTCTTATTGTCGTTTTAGATCGTGATACTGGGGCTTGTAAAGATCATAAGGCTTCCACAACCAATCAACTGGGCAAGGCACTTGGGAGTCAAGCCTCACCCATGGCTTCCCTTTGCCACTCCAATGCAACAAGCTCACAGGACCAGGATGCAAACTTCTACAACTGTTCGACACATTGTCACCACCAAGCCCATGTTGGTTCCACCGATGGTCAATTGCCTCAACATCTCCACCAAACACCAACAAGAAAGGAGGCAGAGAACCCAGCTCATAAATCCTCCTCTGCTTCTGAATTCCCATCCATTTCTCTATCTCTCTCGTGTAATCTCCTTCTCTCCACCTCTCCAAATCCATCACCATCACACCCGTGTTGAAATAGCATGGCTTTTTATTATCATCAATCTTTTCGGAGAAAACCCCACGAAGCTCGCCGTCTGACCAGAATTCATCCGTGAAGTACTTGTCAAAATCTGCATGACAATACTCGGGAGCTGCAATCACTCTTGACCCCCTTAGCGTTACACCCCATAGCTTCTGTATGTCGTCGACCAATATGGTATCAGAGTCGAGATAGATCACTCTTGCAACGCAGGGCTCGAGCAAATTGGCTAAATAGCTCCTCGCGTAGTTTAAGGGGTTGTCGAGAGCTTGGCGGATTGAAGACGATATTTGACTTTTGACTATACTTTCCCTGAAGATGTAAACTTTGAACCTCAGTGAAGGGAAGGTGGCTTGAAGAGTCCGAGCAAGGCTTATCGAATCGGAATCGGCATCGGCATCGGAGGCAATGAAGTGAAAGAAGAGATTCTCTGGGCAAGAAGTGTGTCTGAGAACTGAGTGGATTGAAGCTATGGAGCCCCTCAAGTACTCTGAATCAATGGTCATTGCCATGTGAACAGCTGAAGGGTTACGAACCAAAGACATGCCGTTTTTGCCCAAAACTGGACAATGGAATCCGTTTCTGTATTCTGGGGCCTCGGAAAATTGCATGGAAACCTCAAGAAGATTGTCGTTTATTCCATAACCTCTGTACTTGACTTCGTTGGGAAATGATCGGGCTTCAACATTGGTGGGAAAGAGAAGCAGATCAGAAACTAGGAAGAGGAGTACCACTGCAAAGAGCGATGTTCTTGAAATGAGCATTCTGTGACTGCGAGAGATCGGATCTTGAGATGGCGACGATAGAATATTAATTGATGGGGTTTGCGAAACTGAAACGCAAAGAAAAGAATTTTTGAGGTTTTTCTTGGTATTGGACTGAGAAAGAATAAGGACACAAATGTTGAAATAGTCAGAAAGCAAGACTAGAGCGAGAGAGAGAGAGAGAACGCCAACGCGTCTGACAGAACGCGTTTTCTGATTCTGGCAGTGGCATGTCGCAAATTTGAATGTGTTGGTCTTTTCGAACTTTCCTAATGCTTTCGTCAATATTATTATATATTTTGTATTACAATATAAATAGTAATGTAAATCTAAATAATTAATTCTAACAACTATAGTATTTTGATTATTAATTTTGTGTGGAAAAAGCTTATGGGGAGTTGGACTAGGGTCGACGATTCAGTTACGTGCATACTTTGTTTGAAAGACTTGTGACCACGTGCTTTGAACTCGGATAATTTATGAATTAAATAATTATTATGCCTCCTAGTAATCCATCGTCATATGACCACGTGCTACGTACACAATACAATACATAGTCTTATGCAAGAAAAGTGTGTGTACATATTTATTTCAATATATGCAAAACAAGTTTTAGATTGTTTTTTCTTTTGCTTTTGCGTTTCAAACTCTGTCTACGTCAACAAGAGAGATGCAATGGGTCGTCTACTATATCCACCATCCAAGAGTTTGTGATGGGACGTCCGGAAATAGTGCATAGAACTTTTTGTTAAAGCCATAATGAAAATGACACTACACAATTAAGAATGGAAATAAAATTAAACCCCAGCCTATAAATAATTAAAAAAAAAATACTTCCTCTTAAAACGCAAGTAATTAATCGCGGCTGAGAGATGAGAGAGAGGATTTCCTACACATAGGATCTCTTTGGACCTGGAACTCAAAGATAGAGCTACTCTAAAATTCATGACCTCCATTGAAGCTAGCATATATCGCCATTTACACAATCATATTGCTTACTGCAGCCTGGACAACGTGCGTCTGCCTCGAGAATTCTTACATGGCAGAAAGGGCAAAGCCGATCGAGCGCGGGCGAAAACTCCAGTCTGTCATGTTTAAATCCTCACAAGATACAGGACATTAAAAGGCTGCGGCTTGGAGTTCTGCCACGCCCATGTCATGGCTCCAACCAAACAAACGTTAAAGAACACCAAAAGTTACTGATTGAATATGTGTGCGCGCGCGCGCGTAGAGAGAGAGTTGCAAAGAATATTAGAGCCTAGTTCATTTTACCAATTCAAATTTTCAGTTTTAGCGTCTTATAGTTAAAAATTCTCAGAAAATATCATATCTAATTTTTTTTGTTACAGTTAAAAGCTCTTAAAAAATGTCACATCTCAGCTCGAATTAAAAACTCAAATTCGCGAAGCAAACGAGGCCGAAAAACCCTTGTTTGGTTGCGCTCAGTTCGCTTCTATTTCTTCCTTCCATGCCCAAAAACTTGTTCCCTCGTTTTCCTTTTATACTACGACGACTACTACTACTATTGCTTAGCCACAACAAAGCCTATAAACTAATGCTCGTTAGATCTATAACTCGTTCCTACGTATTCATTTGAATTTGAATATTTGCTCCGTACAAATAGGAAATTTATGGTGAATGTGATGGTATGACTTCTATGTCTCATTAAACCGGATGCATTCAAGAATAGTGTAAATGCCTTAAAAACTATTGAAATCATACTTTGTCACAACTATATCCCACGACTTAATAAAACGCTATAGACTATAAGTAAAAACATTTTTACTCGCTTTCAACGATCAATCAACACAAGTTCGCCAAGTCCTGAGCCAAAAAAAAAAAAAAAAAATCACCAAGTGACCATATTGTTTGTAACAGAATTAAAATACAGATTACTTTTTTTCCCGAGTAACTTACAGTTTACTACATGTAAGATACTAAGATTTTAAGTTTTTCATGTGCTCAAACAGGACTTCCAGACCTATTGTTAAACGAGAGTGGAAACTGACTTCAATCTAGAACCTCTAAGAAGTTGCTTGATTTCTTCATTTTAAGGTTTCAACTCTATTATTTTTTTCTTATTATTATTATTATTATTTTTTGTCATTTCATAATTTATGTCCATTCTATGATAGTAAAAAACGCGGAGTTTTAAGTGCTTTGCTTTTTCTTTCCCTTTTCCTTTTTAGGTTTCAAGTCCTTTATTTTTTTATTTAATTTGTTACCTTAAAATTTAGAATGTTTCATGTATTTCTATGATTAGATGTAACCTTTTGACTAAAACTACTATTAACATATATTCTTCTTTTATATATATATATATATATATATATTGAGTGTGGAGGACTCAAATTCTATATTTTATAGTTGAGTCGGGTGAGAAATTATCACTAGAATATGTTTGCTACAGCTTGATAATATATAGTTATATACTCTTCTTGAATTTTCAAGTAAAATTTTTCTTATTTTTTTCCTTGTATATTGATATTTGTATTCTACGTTATAAAAATTTTAATTACAACTCAACATGTGCATCGCACATATCTAAACTAGTTTTCTCCAAAAGCGGAAAATACATATCATATTATCAAAAATACAATAATCGCTAACCAAAATTTCAACACTATCCCATGCGTCACTGCCAGATAGTTTGGTAACACATGTCAAACTTAACCCTGTTTCAGTATGTGGAGTTTAATCTGATGAGACCAAAGTTCTTATGAAGGCAGGTATAAAAATAACAATTAGAGATCAAATAAATACCTTTCTGCAAAAATATCATACAGATCCTTATATACAGAAACAATAGCTTATAGGCCATCCATATGAAGCAACCCTTAGTAGGTTGTTTTTCATGGAACTGGCATCTAAATATGTAAAATGAAAAGGCATGAGTTATGTAATCTCCATGTACTTGTAGTTGTACTATATAAAATGTGAAAGAAAGACAAATTTTTGCTCCATAATATACTTACGCTGACGCGGTCTCGTGTCCGTCTGTGTGTAACTTGGGATTTGTTGTCTCAGAATTAGGCGTGTTAAGTTACTGAGAGTGCGACATGAATTTGTGAAACCGTTGTACCCTTTGATCATCATGTGAAGATCGATCTCCCAATGATTTTGATCTCTTCCTCGGCCGGAAGAAGAAATCTTCTGTGTCCATTATGTAGGACATCTGCCACATTATAATAATACCCATGATCAAATGAAAAAAAAAAAAAATATATATATATATATATGTCCATGCATGATTTATTATTATTATTTTATGAAAAGAAAAGATACATCATTAACAATTAACAAACGAAGAAGGCAACAGGACGAAAAAACAAAGAAAACACAACCACAGCGCCAAAAGTTAAACGTCTGACACGTTTATTCTAATATGTTTGTTAGATGATGAAGTTTGATGTAAAAGCCCATGGACCTCTTTCACAAGTTATTAGGGACAAAAGTTGGAAAGAGAAAACTAAAGTTTAAGAACTATTAGTGGAAATTAACTTTTGTTTTTGTGACGTTTTAATTAGCTAAACAAAAGAGTGCACTGATAGTTTAACATCATGGACATGTAACGATCACGAAATTACCACTTCACCCTCACTAACACCGGCACATGGGGAGCTCATGCAAGACTCCGTCAAATATTTAACAACTAGCTAAAGGAGGGAAACAGAGCAATAGATTAAGGACCAAAGTGAGACATTGTAAAAATCATAAGTTGAAAGAAATGAAATCCAGTGAAATTGGTGAATTTATCCTATCAAAGACCAAAGTGGGATTGAGAGTAAAGCTCGGAGACTATTTATGAGATTAACCTTCAATCCTAAGCCAGCCTAAAGGAGGAGGGTGCTACACCAAAGATTTGGAGAGCAAATCAAAGTTCTGCTGTACTCATCAGAGGAACTATATCGATAAAATCATCTCTAGCGCGCCAAATAAAGTAAAAAATAGTGGAGAAGAACAAATAAAAATCTACATCTCTCCCTGTATTCAAAGCAAAGTCCAGAACATCGATGAAGGAGGACGAATGGAAAATTTCAGGTGTCCAACCACAAGCAAACCACAAAGACCTAGCAGCAGGGCAAAGAAGCATAATATGAATAGAGGTTTCAGAGACAACCACAAAAAGGACACTGAAATGCAGGTAATGCAAACCTAGCGTTCAGAACTGCATGAACTAGGGAGAGGGTATCACAAATCAGCCGCCACCACAAGATTCTATGCCTTAGAAGGATCCTATCAGTGAAAAAACAATACGATCTGACTGGTAATTCAATATTGAGTCGTTAGGTTGTGCATTGTCGAGGTTCGCGTGAGGCTCTGACAGTTAGCGATGAGCACGATTATTGATACAGCAAGCCACTTCTTGGCTCCGCTCCACCTGTTCGTCATTTACATCAGCCAACTTATCCACATCAAACAAGATACGAACTACTTTTCTGCATGTTGCTAATGCCATCTCATCCAGCATATTTCTTGCCACAATAGTTCCCTAAGCTATCCTTCCCACAATTTTCTTTTAAGTGCATATACACTGGTGAACCAATACCTCTGCTTTTCCCTTTGAACCAACAAAAAAAAGGTTCTGAGCTACCTTTGGAAACAGTCACGGGCATAACAGACATAGGTTGGTCATACTCCATATGCTCCACATGTTGTCAACACTAGAACCAATAGCCATCATGAAGGCCTGATCCGTGAAACTTCTGCTTGATAATTGAGAACTGAAATAGGGACAACCGAGCACATAAGAGATTGGTGGCCGGTGGGCCTGATACGCATCTCTCAACCTTGGTTTCCCCAAATTGAGAAGAATCAAAGATCTATCATCAGAATTAGGTCATGGGACCGAATAAAACTCCGGGAAAGATTGCAAAGCTGTCGATTTGCTAGCGACAAGTGAGGAGGTCTTTCAATCGATTGCATAATAGATGGTTCCATAATTGGAAGAATAGCCTTTTTAAGAATTCCATTTTCATCCTCCACCAACACCCCACGCTCACTTATTTTTTCATAGAAAGGTATCAGTCAGAGGATACCTCAGCCCTCAGCTGGGCTCATTGAATATATCAACTTATTAAATATCATGAAGGCCTGATCCGTGAAACTTCTGCTTGATAATTGAGAACTGAAATAGGGACAACCGAGCACATAAGAGATTGGTGGCCGGTGGGCCTGATACGCATCTCTCAACCTTGGTTTCCCCAAATTGAGAAGAATCAAAGATCTATCATCAGAATTAGGTCATGGGACCGAATAAAACTCCAGGAAAGATTGCAAAGCTGTCGATTTGCTAGCGACAAGTGAGGAGGTCTTTCAATCGATTGCATAATAGATGGTTCCATAATTGGAAGAATAGCCTTTTTAAGAATTCCATTTTCATCCTCCACCAACACCCCACGCTCACTTATTTTTTCATAGAAAGAAGTATTTAATAAGTTGATATATTCAATGAGCCCAGCTGAGGGCTGAGGTATCCTCTGACTGATAAACAGTCCTATGAGGCACTTCACCCTTGTGTAGTAAGGCTTCCCCTCCCAGAGACAATTCATTGAGTTGGTTTGTTGCAAAATGTTATTGCAACAATGTTGATGTTTTCACATGAGCAATGGAATTTTACCAAAAAAATAAAAATAATCGACAAATAAAATAAAAGACAATCAACGAGTTGTGTTTTATGGGGAAAATATATTTTCTAGCCTCATTTTTGAGCCTCTACGGCTAAGGAATTAAAGTATTACTTCTTTTGTTGTTCTAAGCTAGAAACATTTGTCGTCTAATTGACCTTTATTCCTTTTTCCCCTTTCCGTTTAGTTTTCCCTAAAAGGTATCCTATAAATTTTTTAGATGTTAAATTCTCTCTTTGCATTAATAAAGTAGCATTTCTTATCAGAGAGAGAGAGAGAGAGAGAGAGAGAGAGAGAGAGAGAGAGAGAGAGAGAGAGAGAGAGAGCCCTACCTTGGATGAACTGCAAGTGATCTTACACTCCAAACCATTGACTAATTGGACACCTTCCAAGGCAGTGGAGACTGCTGAGGACTCGTCTAAAGATGCAAATCTGCGTTTGTTTCTGCAGATATGATACAGAGAAACAAATACCGAAAAATAAGCAACAATTCACAAAATCTTTTACCTTAAATTTGCAATCTAGAGAAGGAAAAGGTAAACACGACAATAAAATACATTGTATTTCTTTTGGGCTCCATAAACATGGTTATACATCAAAGGTGTATCCAAAAGTAACTATATTCTGTCAATAATGCTAAACTTCAAGCAAATATCAGCCACATAAAATGGATTTGTTTTTGCACAATCTGCATGGGAGGGAATGGGAATTGGAGGGAATAGTAATTCAAAATGAGTAAAAAGTCAAATAGTACAAAAATCAAATGCATGTAATTGAGAACCCTTCTAGTAGAGAAAAGAGGTATTAAATGAACAATGTAAAAGATAATCTAAACGTTCAATGGTACCTGCCCTTTAGTTAATAATATCAAAATAATACTTACTTTGAAATATAAAGTTATTACCTCTTTAGGGTAAGTCCATGTGGCTCCTTTTTTCCAGGAAAGACTGACAGAAGATCATTGTTTAGATAATCAGAAAAATTGGGTTCCATTGAAACTGCAAAGACCTCAGGTTTCTCATTCACATTGTGCATCAGCTGGATGGATAACCGGGAGGGGGCAGACTAAAAAGTGAAGGTAGAGAAAAATCAAAAAAGGAATAAAGTAAAAAAATTATAAACAGTGAAAACTACCTGAAAGGTGGGAAGAACGAAGACGGTTTCTCAGCGAGAGTGAGAAGAAAAGAAAAACAAGTTCAAAGAACTCACACATTCCAATCTATAAATATTCTCCTCATGCAGAAGGACACGTGCATTTTCATAATACACTGTATCTCCCATACCAGCTTTCCGGGATTTTTCACTCTCATATAATTGAAGAAGCTTATTGTCCATCTCATCAGTTACCACTGTTTGAAGCTGTAAGAAAAAACTATCATTTACACATAGAATTCTGGCAAAAGAAAGTTAAAGAAGAGAGAACTTAAAGTTTTATTTATTTGATAAGGAAGAGAGAAATTAAAGTTGGCATACCTGTTTGACCAACTTATATATCACTTTGTCCAATGTAAATAACACATATGATTGGTTTCCTATGATAGCTCGACATTCATCCTCAAACTTTGCATTATCAGAAGATCCATCAAGCAAATTGTAGAGCGCACTCATAAATCTGCATAAATGTGAACAATACCTCTAAATAAAATTGTATCAGCCAGTTATAATATATAGAGTAAGAAAGCAGTAGTGAAATACCTGCCATATGGATCTGGAGAACTTGCATCCCTTGAAGTTCTCCATTTCATTTCTCCACCAGATGTTGAATTCACTTTTGCGGACAGAATCCTTTCATATAGAATCTGGTAAATTCAAAAGTTATGCATTGAGCTCAGGGAATAAGTGAACACGTACAAAACCAAAATAAAAGAAAAATAGAGGACTATGTTTCTTTACTTGGTGGAGTCTAAAAAGCACATAGAAATCATCATTTCCATAGAAGACCCGACATCCTTTCTTTTGCTCAACTAAAATCGCTGGCACATGTTTTGCTAGAGGCTTCACGGATGAAAGAAAACGCTCTGGTAATGGCACTAAACGTGCGTCGGTTGTCCCCTCAGCCTCTCCTTCGCTCTCAGCCTTACCATCAACCTCATCATGATCAACATCCTCCTCTCCATGCCCTTCCCTGGAGCACTCATCACCTGCAGACTCGCTGCCCGAGACATCTTCACCAGCCTCGGAAACATCTTCACTGTTTTCATCATCAGCATCTGAATCATTTTCCACTCCAGCTTGTTGACCACACAACTCTTCACCACTTCCAGATTGATACTGCCTACATTCAACAGGATGTTTTGCCTTGGCCATACTCTGCATCCCAACATCTCCAGAGACAAAGTTATCCTCCTCAAAGTCACCATTAGGTGACAACTCGCCCTCCTCCTTTTCAACTTTGGAGGCCTCTACAGATTCTTCATGAGAGCTGCTTAGTTTGCTACCTTCTCTAAAAACGCCATTTGCCAACGGAGCGGATTTTGCAACATCACCCTCCTGAAATATGCAAGAAATACACAAAAAGTTAATAAAACACATCCTTAAAAACCCACAAAGGGAAAAAAGGGGGAATGAGTGATCCATAGATCAATTGGTGTACTACTCTACTGAAGGCCCAAAAAAAAAAAAAAAAAAAAAAGGCTTAATGCTTGCAACATTCCAAACTCGTACCTCTGCTGAAGGTACGGTACCAACATTGTCATCGGGTCTGGACAGAATTGCACCAAAACCTTGAAATGAAAAACAAAGACAAATGCGCAGAAGCAAGAAAATAGTCTCAGCAACAATCAGCAAGAGAAAACAAATTTATTAGAGAGAGAGAGAGAGAGAACCTGGCGCTGCTTCCAGGCTGGTTCTATCATGACCATTTTCTGCTCCATTTGCCGATGATGCATTCGAATTAGCAACTCGGTCAATGGAGGTGACATGTTTATTGGACCCACAAGCGTTGTCACTTGCAACTTCATTTTTCTGGTCTTTCTCAAGTTGATGAGTATCACAAATTGGTTCTTCTCTGCAGACACGACCCACATCAACAGAACAATCTTCTTTAGTTGAGGTATCACCAGTTGCTAAACCAGTCCTACAAATACTTAGGGATTCTAGTAAAGTACTGCCGTCTTCACCCTGCACAGATTTTTGTTTTCCGAAACTTATGACAGTAGCATCACCACCTGGACTTTCATCACTCTCTCCTATGCTTGATGCACTACAATTTGAAGCACCACTCCGAACTTCCTTAACATCTTCAGTGACCTTTAAACAATGAAGTTGAGAAAGAACGCCCAAAATTGGTTCCAAGAAGGCAGTATAGAGTTTCATGACTTTGTTTAACTGTTCTTTTGTTGAGCAGATTTCTTCACATGAATATTCGACAAGTTTGTACATGTCTTCGTAAATGCTGAGATCTGAGTATTCATATTCCAGATGAGGACTGATAAATTGTCTGTTTCCAGCAACAAGTGCGAGAAGAAAATCATCCTCTTTCTGTTTTTGCTCTTTAATTTCCTTGATCTCGCCCACTAAAGCTGCAATTTTTAATAACGACAATTAATAGGATAGCCAATGCGACAATAGCCACCACTATTATTTTAAAACTAACATTACCATCATAAACCAAGTTGAACTTACATTTACTGCTCAAGTTCTTTGAATCTTGTTGCTTGAAGTAGAAGCTTCGTTGATCAAGTGATTTATAGTGGTTTTTCGCGTATATTTCAGCCCAAACCTTGTTAAAATCTGAACGACATTTTGTCCATTCCTCTTGCTTCTGCTTCAGGCGCGTTAATATGACAGGTAACGCCAGAGCTGGATTTTTACGCAATATGTCCATCACATCAAGACCATGGTCACCATATAAACGTTCTATGCACCTTAAATTTAGAGCTGCTAAGACAAAAAGTTGGGAAGGCCAAATCAGTCGGAGAACAAGCCGCTAGCCTCAGATAACAGAGACCAATTTTAGGAAATATTCTTGCTTCATGGTCAGCTGAAAGAAACAAACCAGTAAAGTGGTCTTCAATACGAATTGGATTTTCCACATTGGCTACATTTATGCTGTTCAACAATTCTTCTGCTCGCTTAGCAGTGGAGGTCACAGACTCTAACAACATGTCCAGTTCAAACCTAAAATTTAATGTTGTCAGAGAAGCAACAAAGACAGCTGTAAAGTTTTTTCCTAAAGCCCAGAGGCCCAACAGGAGTCCAAGGAAGAAATGGAACAAAATTTAGGATTGTAAACAATCAGTAATGCATTATCAAGGAAAATATCATATACGAGAAGAACTATATTGAAAGCTAATACTTACTTTCTGAACTTAGATAATTTTACTACACAAGCATAAACATCAGGGAAAAGTAATACCAAAGAAATACACCATTTTAAAATACCATGTCACTGAGGAGAACAGCAAAACTATTTGCAGAATTTTACCTATCATCTTCGCATCTGAACAAACATTCCTCGTACTGATTTCTGCGCATATGTTTAAAGGAATAGTCCTCACGTCCTGAGGTCACAGATACCCAGTGGTCATTCAAAACTTGAGTGCCGAGCTCTGATCTCTGGCTTACGGAAGGTATTGGATACTGAAAAGTGACAAGTACCAACAAGTTACACTTCATTACAAATCCTGGATCTGCTGACTACAACATATCAAGAACTGTATGTACCATCATCCATAATTTTAAAAAAACAAACAAAACAAAAAAGGAAAAAAAAAAAAAAGGAAAGGAAAGGAGGGGGGAGGGGGGAAGAAGTTGCTTACGTCATCTGGCAGAAGGCGATAACTTGGAGTACTCCTTTTGCAATCAGAGAGGTCAAGCTCCTGAATGGATTTTCCCATATACTTTTCCCTGCATCTTTCTTTTTCTTTGCTTCCCTCCACATCACGCTTTTGCTCCTTTTCTTTATCCTCTACCCTCACTGGTTTGGTTGAGTGACCATCACTGGATATTGACTCTGCATCAAGAAATAGTGCCATTTAAGTTCACAAATTACAAACGAAGACTTAAGATTCCCAGAGGAATCATGTAGCAGCTGATATTTGTTGGCACAGAAAAATGAATTGCTCCTCCACATACATATAATATACATGAAGATTTTATGAAAGAACTAGAAGGAAAATAAACATACTTTTACTCATAACACCCGCAAGAAATCCATCTGCAAAAATAGACCAGTAAGACATATAGATATGGAACCAAGACAGAAAAAAAAAAAAAGAAAAAGAAACTTCAACTAATGCTACGAAGTTACCGATATTCTCGCAACGTTCTAAGAAATCAGTAAACTCCTCCATAAGGTCTGGAAACTTTCCCAATAAATCAGCCACCTGAAGCAGCGGAGCGAAGACCCATAAAAATGAGTAAATATTCAAACTAGTTCTCCAAAATGCAATCAACCAGAAAAATCTATGGGCGCGTTTGGAACTCGTTCCAAAATGATTTTTGAAAATGCGTTTGGTAATTTTATTAAGAAATTATTTTCAGTATAAAAAAATCCATTAATGTCCATGCCTCTTTTTCTCTACTCGAGAGAGGAGAAAACAAAAACAAAAAACGACTAAAAGTCATTTTTCATTTCTCTCTCATTTTACACTAAACCAAAAAATCATTTTCATTTCTGTTTTTTGTCTTTATTGCGCCCAACGCCATTTTAAAAACGTTTTCATTTTTTCTTTCTTGAAAAATGTGAAAAATAAAAACGGGATCAATTCCAAACACGGCCTATATTTTTCTGTGTGTGCGCATCTAAGGAATTTTATGTTCGCTAAATTAAGTGTTCATTTTTCTTTCTTTGATGATAATAGCACAGATGTGAAGGAAGATAATGGACGTTCTGTAAATTACGATAATTGCTAGAAACGATACAACACATACCAGATTTTTTAAATCATTCCTTTTAATTATTCCATTGCTATAAATATGAAGACACTTCAAGAATGCTTGGTAGTCATCTTGACTGCATAACCTCTCTTTAACTTTCTCACAGAAAATGAATCCCTGGCTGTATATGCCTGACATGTAATTCAAGGGAATGTAAATAACTCGTCTCCACGCCCAACAAAAAAAAAAAGAGTAAGGAAAAAAATAAAACAAAAAGAAAACAAAACAGCAATCCTATTCGTCAGAGTAAACAATTAAATTCCATGATAGTTTTTTCCACATCACAATACATTGTCGCCAGAGACATTCAAGATTTCAGGAGAAATTCTAAATAAGCTCATACATGATAGGGTTTCATTCCCTCGGATCAAATATCATATTGTTGATCGTACGGAAATAACATAGATCTTAACTTATATGCTTTTTCAGCTAGTTGTATCAATTTAGCTAAGCTTGTATAAAAAGGGATACGAACAAACTCACTCTTCAATGTTTCTTTGTCATCACTATTAGCATTCCCTCCAAATCCTTCAACCTTTCTGGCAGATTTCTTTCTGTCAGGAAGTCGTTGGATGTTGAAATCCCTATTGTTATTGTTCTCAATTTCTCGATCGTCATGATCACGATTTCTCCTCTCCTTGGTCTCCTTTTCAACACGCTTTCTTTGCTCTTTGTTCATTTTCATGGCTTTGTCATCATCCAGCTCAGGACGATCAACACTACGATCACGATCTGCACTGCAAGGAATAATCCTATCTCGCCGACGTTGCTGTTGAGAATGAAATGCATTTTCCCACCATCAAGAATCCATTAACTTCCAACCCGAAAAAAGGGAGAAAAAAACATCTTTGAACATAATGTAATAACCTTGTCCATATGAATTTTGGGTGTAACAGAGCTGCGCTCATTGAAGCGCGGAAGTGAATTTCGGCCGTAAGGAATGTGTTGTGTTGAAGGTGTTGCATTAGAATCAGGTAAAAATCTTGTAAATTCATCAAGCAAATCTGGATGTTTATGAAATAAAGTTGCAACCTGGAGATAAAAAATAAACCACTTTGAACCAGTAGGTAACAATGATAGGATTAATAATTTAGAAAGAGAAAAGGTCCTATTATATTATGCAAGCAAAATAACAAAAAACTAAAGTTTCTTACCTCGTCATAGACCGCCTTTATGTCCTTGTGCTCCTTTCTATACATATTCAATATGTCTAGAAATGACTTATAGACATGTTCATCATTTTGAAATCGTTTCTGCAAAATATTGATCACCTCTTAAACAACTAACAAGACTGCAACTTGAACTTTCTTTCTTTCCCTTTTTTTTTTTTTTTTTTTTTTTTTTGAACATTTGAAACTCAAAGAATAGACTAATAACCTTTATCTTGTTCACAAAACTAATAGCTTCCTGAAACTCTACTATCTTTTTCGGTGGAGCCTCATCCTCATCAATGGTTATCTCGTAACCTTTAGGCAAGAAGGTGTTGAATCCCAAAATTAGGTTGGTGTGGCCTTTGAATAGCTCCTTCACTCTTGCAATGACACCTGCAGTATCAGTTCTGGAATAGAAAAAACACAGGCATGAATCCTTTGACAACTAAATGCAACAAACCATTTATCACGGAAAACTCGACAGGTGTGGAGAAGTGAACCTCTCAGCCTTGAAATCTTTCATGACCTCAAGAAACATGTCATATTTCTCCTTTTGGTCTTGAAACATGTCCTTCACTTCTTTGAGATAGGTCAAGGCATCACTCGTTGTCAGTTTCTGAGAACCACCTCCTCCCGTACCCCCTCCACCACCTCCTCCTCCTCCCCCTTCTCCTCCTGGTCCCGGGACCGAGGATTGCCCATGGCTTTGCACCGGAAAATTGAGAATAGACTCATTAAACATCAAACAAATAAAACTAAAAATCAACAGAGTATCACTATTAATGCGACAGTTAATCTATATTCCATACACACAAATCTTCACTATTACCCCATATGCTCTTTAGAGAAGCTTACCCTAAACAAAGCCAACTATAACATAGAATTATTCTCAGATTCATTTTTTGCCTCCCTAAATACACAAGAAAAGATGCAAAGTTTCATCTATTTCAACCAACATTTCTTCCTCAATTTAGATTCTACTTTTATCACAACTCCTCCTCTTAAAAGCCAAACAAACAAACAAGTAAATTACAAGGAGATCAGGCTTCATACGCAAAAGAGAACACGATCAATAACATAATCAAACAGAGCGAAATCTACAAAACATTGCAATTTCGAAGATGTGCACAGAGAGACTTACGAGAAAGGGCGTTTCAATTGAGTGCTAACGAACACGTCGTCCCTCATTCTCTTCATGATTTCTGCAAATAAAAAGAAAAGCGCGAGATTTGTTCTCTGAAAACAGAAATCAACTTACTCTGCAGGCTTCGGATTTTTCTCAGGAAAATACGCAGGAAAATAGTGACCAGATCTCCGTGGAGGAGCGGAGAGAAACGGAAACGAGTAAAAAGGGCTTGATCGCCCACAGAGGGGGGGAAAAGGGAAGAAAAGAAAAGAAAAAAAACAAAATAAGAAAAATGAAGAATAGTTCAATAGGCCAACTACGTAAATAAATGAAAAAAAAAAAATAGAAAAAAGAAAAGAGAGAGATTTAAACAAATTTGAAAATGAAAATGGAGTATAATTTGGTGGCTTATTCATAAAGTAAAATTACATTATTATCATTAGTAATATTGTTACAGTGGTACGTGGAAGTGTGAGAGTCAAAATCTAAAAATTCGAATAAAATTGGGTGTGAGGTATAGCTTGCGTTGGGGGGTTTTGCATTGCCGCTATATTTAGAGCTCCTCTTTGCAGCTCGGTTTTGTTTTGTGCCAAAACCTTAAGGTGTGTTTGATTGGAGTGCGGGGATGGTAATCAGAATAGAAATGTGAATGGTAATAGAATCGAATAGAAAGAAAAGATAATTCATTTATTTAGTTATACTTTTACAAATGTAATGAAATAATATATGAATATTTTCATATTAACAAAATTACTCATCATGCTAATACAACTAATATCATACATATTAATATAATCATTTAATAACTAACATTATATATATAAAATTATAAGGACATAATATATATAATTATATTTATATAATATTTATTATTATAATACAATCATAATATATAATATAATAAAATAATAATATTGTGATTATTTTATATTATAATGTTACAACTATACTATATTATATTATTAGAAATATAATATAAATATAAAATGTAATAATATAATATAATATAATATAATATAATATAACATATTATAATTATAATATATAATATAGTAT